ATGGCAGAAGGTGAAGAACTGATATTAGCGTTTGGAAAACTTCCGGCTTTGCCATCATCTCTGACTTAATGATAATAATATAATTTATAACAAAGCCAAGATTATCTTTGCTCAACCTATCGCATTGACTAAACTACGTTAAGTCATACATGGTACTCGGCTTTGTAAATGCTCACTTTAATCATATGTTAAAATCAAACGTCGTTGTAGGAAGACTTGACTGACTGACTAATTAAGTGAAGAAGGATTTTTAAAGTAGATTGCGTTATGGAAATATAAATTACGTTTTTTTATGAAAAATGCTACAAGTACAAAAGAAGAATGGAGAATTTGGATAGCGACAGTAGTCATACTAATGTCTGATCTTCATTTGATGTATTGGTCTAGCCTATTTCTATCGCTCATTCTAGATTTAATACTGTTTCACAGGACTATCAGAATATCATATTCATCTTTTGTTTGGAAATTTTAGGAGTGGATCGAAGGCAAACGAATGTTTGAGTACTTAGCATTGGAGCTACCAAAAGCAATAGATTCTGCTGAAATTCTGTCTGATATTGACTTCTATATCGAAAACAACAATAACGATATCCTGATTGCGAACAAGAACGGTGATCGACGAAGCGTAGGCATCATCGACAGATGTATACAAATCTACAGTGATATAGCAATTTTCATGATCGAACAGCATATGCAACATACGAAGTAGTAATGTTCCTCAATTACTAATTTCTACGACGGTGATTTCAAGTAAATTATATCTCTGTGGATATTATTATTTGTATAATATATTTTGCTTTATATTGCTATTCTGTTTTGCTTTCGTTTATTGTTATCGAGGTCAAACATTATGTTGTGCATCGATATTTTAGCTTATTTTAGTATGTTATGAGCGGAAGTTATGTTGTATAATATTATTTTCTGCTGTCATTCTATATTGATAGGTTTATTATTACCTGTAAGTCTGATTGTATTGTGCTTCTGCTAATTCACTTATGCAACTTTCATGTAAAATTTCTTTTTCCTTTCAAATACTACGGGTTTCCCAGATTTCATTCTACTCGCATTAACTATGTTGGAGCGGTACTTTGTATATTTATGATTGTGTTTAGAATATGTTGCGGTATTAAATGATATTGATAGGAATAGTTCATGTAAACAGTAAGTGCAGAATAGTATAAATATAAAAGTAAATAATATAAATTTCTGCAACTTTTATTGTAAACTAAGAGAAAAGAGAAAATGTTGACTTTTTGGGGAAAAAGGAAAGATTGGTTAGTTTGAGTTTCATAAATACGACCATTATTTTCTTTAACCCTATCTTCAGAGTATTCAAAATTTCCCTATACTGGTTGCTAGTAAGACGGTATAGAGTACTCTAGTATAGCCACACTTTAGGATTCTTCGTCCATGGCTATGAAGTCACTGAGCGCCTACTAATCCACATTATGACGCACTATAGAGATTGTACTAACAATCGATTGCCTTCTTCCGAAATCTCTCAATGTTACCTCTCACCTACACTACTCGTTAAGAGGTGAAATGGTGCTAGACACAAGAAACGACCGAAATATG